CATGCACCCGTAGTTTTCTATTAGACTGCTAGCTTTGAACTTCTGCAATCTAACAGATCTACCGTTGGGTAATTTGTGAATCAATACCTTTCTATCCCAGTCCAACTGTGGTTTCGCGGCCTCGAGGTAGTACATACCTAGGAGCATATCAAAAGGAAGTTCGTCGCTAACCAGGAAGGAAATCTTGTGGATCACTTCCCCTCCTGTGTCTGCGAAGGCGCCAATCTTGCGGTTACCTACATCTACTTCTACCACGAAATGTTCACCCTTTGGACCTCCACTCATCATCGCCCAAGAGTCCCTGGGGTCCTTCCCTGACCACTCAGTCTCTAACTCTTCTAGGGCCTCAGACACATCTTTCAAACAGAGCGTCGGTGGGTCTGTATGTGTCTGCGGGGCGATACGTGGGTCACTAGCCTTGGCCAACGCCTGAAGTGGGGAAGGCAACGTTACCACTTCAGCGCGAGTAAGAGCGGCTAACACTCCTACTAGCCCGAGGTGTTTCCCTGTGAGCTGCTCGCAGAAGCACTTCCAGGGTTCGAAGGTAAGCCCACCACCCTTCGTTGTGACTTTCTTGCCGCGACAAGTCCTAGACGTGTGGCCAAAGTTGCCACAGTTCATGCATGTACCCCTAGCAACGCGGTCACGCCACACCTCGTATTCTAAACCAATCTTCACCCATGCGGGTGTTCCTTGGTCGCCCTGACCCGTGGACCGTACTACCTTCTTCTTCCCGGTCCCCCTAGCCTTTTCTTTGATGGGTGCCACGACTCCACCATCTGAAGTCTCACCACCCCCATCGTGCTCTGTGAACTCCCCAAGATCTGAGTAGTCGTCAATCTCCGTCGTCTGACCATCATGGTCAACGAACATTAACTGACCCTTTTTCTTCCAATATTGGGGCAGTCTCTTCCTACCATCATTGGATGCCTTATGCGCAGATCCTAGCTTCGCCTCTATGTCCAGTGCTTTCTTACTAAAAGAAGCAAAAGTGTGCTGGTCGATATAGGCCTCATCAACCAGCTTGGTCCTTACCTCTGTAGGTAGGTACCTTAGGTAATCCGTTAGGAGAACCTGCGGGTCATAACGCACACCAGGTACCACGAGAACCGTGTCTGTAAGCTCTCTAACATCCTTGAACCTACGGGAACAAAGGTTGTTGATAGCATCGGTGGCCTTTTGAGCCCCTTGCGGGTCATTCCACCTGTTGTAGACGGACCGTACAAACWKTTCCAATGTCTGAGACTGAGCCCAGGCATCGAAATCCTGAYCGTAGCCCTGTTGCTGCACCAAGCCATTCAACCAGCGGGCTGCTGATCCTTCTAAAAAGGAGGCAGCCACTACCACTTCCTGTTCTGGCCTTGTGAGCTTGTGCCTCACATAAGTAGGCACAGTCCTCACYCAGGTGTCCAAGTCTTCCTCCCTCTTCTTGTCTCCAGAGAAAGGCTTGGGACTCATCAGAGGTATCTTGGGCATCCACTGCATCGGCTGCATGGGCCCAGGTGCTTGATGCAGCGGCTGCATAGCCACTGAAACAGGCTGTTGCATACTAACATGGGCTTGGCTGGACAGTGGGACTATAGTGACCACTGTTGTAGACGGTACGGCTGAGACTGAATGAACCGGAGCACTAGTTGCACCTAAACCACCCGGGGAGGGCGTGCCAAACATGGGAGAGAAAGTTTGCCCTGTGCGTTGCGGCATCGATGATGGACCCGCACCTACAGGGGGAACTATAGCAAACTGTGGCGGCCTCGCCATTGGGCGAATGCCCCTAAGTTCAGCCAGAATTTGTTTCTGGCCTGCTACCAAATCAGCCAACAATTCCTGTTGAACGCTTTGCGCTTCCGCCACTGAAAGTAAGGCGCCTCGAAGCACACGAACAGCAGGGTCTAATGTTGCCTCATCTAGTCTTTCCAGTCTGCCTAACTCCTGCAATCTACTCTCTAGTCTAGCTTTTCTTTGCATAGCTTTCCTTCTCCTCTCTACTACTTCATCCATCTGCCGCTGTAGCTCATCTTGAAGTTCTTCTGCTTGTCGGATTTCCAAGTCCTCCGGCGTGATAGGAGATTGGCTGACTCGCACATGACCAATCTGACTAGTGGCCGCCTGAGTACCACTCTGACTGACTCCTGACGAAGTGGGTTGTGTAGAGGGTTGCGTCATAGATGAGGTAGCCATGGCTGTACTGATGCTAGCTGTAATTCTAGCTCTAGCACTGTCCTCAGCTGCCCTCGCTCTCCTTGCCGCTGCCCTCTCTCTAGCCTCTC